GAAGGGACCTCAATAGATCATCGAGTCCGACCCCCTGCACTGGCAGGGAAGAGTGCTGGGGCTAGATGACCCCAGCGAGATGCCTGTCTAACCTCCTCTTGAAGACCCCCAGGGTAGGGGAGAGCACCACCTCCCTTGGGAGCCCGTTCCAGACCCTGGCCACTCGAACTGTGAAGAAGTTCTTCCTAATGTCTAGTCTAATGTCTGCGTTGAGCCCCAGCACTGCTGCCTGCCACCATGGCCCCTCCCCTGATCCTTGGGCGCCTGCCCGGACACGACGCCTGTTCTCAGCCCAGGATGTGGCTCTGCGCCGGGCCGCCCCCACAGCCATGGGGAAGTGGGAGCAGCTCCTCGGGGTGCACGGGAGCCGTGAGGACTGGGGAGGAGGAAGCTGGGCTGCGTAGGGCTTTCCCATGGGGAAGCCAGGGCTTGGCTGGGGCTGGGGTCCCTGGGGGGCATCCTCTCTGTGCTGGGGTGCCGGGCACAGCCTGGGCTGGCTCCGAGGCTTATCGCCTTCCCCTTCTCCCTCCGCTGCAGGGTCTGAGCTGACTGCCCGACCAGGATGAGCTGGAGTTTCCTGACACGGCTCCTAGAGGAGATCAACAACCACTCGACCTTCGTGGGCAAGATCTGGCTGACGGTGCTCATCGTCTTCCGCATCGTGCTGACAGCGGTGGGCGGCGAGTCCATCTACTACGACGAGCAGAGCAAGTTCGTGTGCAACACGCAGCAGCCGGGCTGCGAGAACGTGTGCTACGACGCCTTTGCGCCCCTGTCCCACGTCCGCTTCTGGATCTTCCAGATCATCATGGTGGCCACCCCGTCCGTGCTCTATCTGGGCTTCGCCATGCACCGCATCGCCCGCACCCCTGACCCGCGGTGCCCGGCACGCATGCCCATAGTGCGCCGCGGCGCCGGGCGGGACTACGAGGAGGCAGAGGACGATAACGAGGAGGACCCTATGATCTTCGAGGAGATCGAGGCTGAGCGGGAGAAGAAGGAGAAGGGAGGGGAGGGCGGCAGTGAGAAGCACGACGGGCGCCGGCGCATCAAGCAGGACGGGCTGATGCGGGCCTACGTGCTGCACCTGCTGTGCCGCGCGGGGCTGGAGGTGGCCTTCCTGGGCGGGCAGTACCTGCTGTACCAGTTGGAGGTCAGCCCCTCCTACGTGTGCTCCCGCAGCCCCTGCCCCCACACCGTCGACTGCTTCGTCTCGCGGCCCACCGAGAAGACCATCTTTCATGTATGCGGTCAGCGGGCTGTGCCTCCTGCTCACCCTCTGCGAGCTCTGCCACCTGGGCGTGGGCCGCCTCCGGGATGCGCTGGGACGCGGTGACAAGCTCCCACCCCCGGACGGCGCCCACCCTGCGCCACACTATGCCAAGAAGGCGCCCAGCGCACCCCCCACCTACCACTCCCTGAAGAAGGAGCCCCTGGCCCTGAAGGCCCCGCTGGCCCACGGGAAGCTGGACTACGGGGACCCCCTGGGTGGTGCAGGGGCCCCTCCAAAGCACGAGCTGGAGCGGCTGTGCAAGCGCTGGCGCAGGAGCACCTGGAGGTGGCCTTCCACCTGCAGCCCACGCTGGAGACCGCCAGCCCCTCGCGTAGCAGCAGCCCCGAGGCCAACGGCATCGCTGCTGAGCAGAACCGCCTCAACTTCGCCCATGAGAAGGAGGGTGCCCTCTGCAAGCGGGTCACAGGTGAACTGACCCCGGCCCCGTGCCCCCCGAGTGCTGAGCTCTGAGGGGCTGGCGCTTGCCCTGGACCCTGGGGGAAACCAAAAGGCTAGGCCCGTGCAGTTTAGGAGAAAGATGCTTGGGTGGGGATGTGACAAGGGCTTATAAAATCCTGAATTGTGGAAAGACGTAATCAGGATTTGTTACTGACTCACCAGACAAGAATGAGGGGTCACAGTGCGAAGCGAGCAGGTAGTGAGGTTAACAAAAGGAAGTTCTGTTTCTTCAGCGAGTCATAAAGGGTGGGTGGGACTCCTGCCCCAGACGTGGTTGGAGCTGAGAGCGCAGCCTGATTCACCGGGGACTGGACACGTGCGGGGAGGAAAGGGGCACGGGGAGCGCTGGGGCAGGGAGCGAGGGGCACGGCCTCTGCACCAGCCCTGCTGGGACCCTCTGTGCTGGAGGAACAGGGGAAAGCCCTGCTTGGCCCCGGGCACTCGCCCTCCAGCTCCGCTCTCTGCCCTGGGACATGGGAGATGGGGCAGGATGGCCCTGGGTCTGAGCCAGCGCAGGGCAGGTCTTGTGCTGGGCGGCTCCGAGGGGCTGCGGTTGCACCACAGCTCTGGGACTCCGGGGGGGCGGGAGGGAGCGAGCTCCTCACTGCTCTGGAGGCAGGCCCCTTTCAGCGTCTGCAGCGTGAGCCCTGACCCGCGTGTTCTGCTTCCCACAGGGCTGTGAGCAGCTGTGTCGCACCAGGGCCCGTGGAGACAGCGATGGTGCTCGGAGCTCTGTGGCCACGTGTGCTCTGGATGAGACCCCTGCGGACGGATGACAGCCTGTGTTGGGGGGCTGCGGCCCCTCCCTGTCCCGTGGGGTGGACTGGCGGGGTGTCCCCACACCCAGCCTGGCTGGGAGGGGCCATAGGAACTTGCCTTCCTTTGCTTTTTTACTTTTTTAAAAAGGGAATATCTTATTTTTGTACATTTTCTAGACTGCCCTGCGTGTGCCCTGGCCCCTGCCCTGCCCCTGGCACAGCACCCTCCCTGCTTCCTCCAGCTACGTGCTGCTGTGGGGAAGGGCCCACGGGGGTCCCCATGGATGAAGGGGGCTGACAAGCTGGTGCTTCCCCACGGCAGCAGGGGCTCATGCAGGGTCCAGCTGCTTGGGGCCCTCCTGCCAGCAGCATCCAGCTCGCTCGCCTGGTCTCCCCACAGGGAGCACAGGTTTGGTGACCAGCCTCGGGGGCCGCGGCTCTGCGGTGGGAGGCGCCTTCGCCCCCTGCACTAGGTACGAAAGGCTGTGACTGCCCCTGGCAGTGGCTAACTGCATGGGGGGCTGAGGGGCAGCTCCCACTCCCGGCTCCCTGCAGGCAGGGCTCTGCTCCAGCCTCCCTCCCCTGCCGGTGCCTTGCTTCTGCTCACGGTGGAAGCGGACGGCGTTCGGACCAAAGTTGATCCTGTCACATTCCAGGCCTCGGGGTCCCCCGGGGCGGGGGCATGCGCCAGGCAGGCTGGCCTGGGCAGCAGGGAGCCGACTGGGCCGTGCTGGCTGTGGCGGGGTCTGGGCCTGGCTTGCGGGTGTTTTGTACCTTTGTTTTTTTACTTGATCAATTGGTGAAGTCTTTTTATATTTAGTAAAACCTGGAGATGTTTTGTATGGAGCCTGGTGTCCGGCTGCTTGGGGAGTGGGGAGCTGCACGGGGGACAGAGCAGAGAGCCCATGAGGCGGAGGACCAGGGGGTCTGGGGCAGATGAGCAAGGTGTGAGGCACATGGGGTGGCCTGGGGCAGGTGAGCGGTATGTGGGGGCTGGGGCAGGGGAGCGGGGTGTGCAGGGGTGGGGCAGGGCTTGGTGCTTGCCATGGGGGCTCCAGTGCAGCCTGGGACTCGCTGGCTGGGAGCTGCTTCAGGTGATGGCAGCCCACCAGGAGCACTGGCCTGGGCTGTGTGAGCTGCTGTCGGCTCCAGTCCTGTACCCGGCCGTGCCCCAATGGTCCTGTCCCGCTTGTTGGAGCCGTAGCCCTGGAGACGAAGGGCCCAAAGGCCTGGGCCAGATTCGAACCAGTGCCTTCCACGACAACCCACTTTGGGCTGGGTGGCGCAGGACGAGCCCAGAGTGCTGCAGGAATGACATGGCTTCTGGGATCGGCTGTGGGATCACACTGTGGTCTCCTAGAGGAGAGGAGCCCACCAGCCCAGCTCGGAGCACGCAGGGGAGCCAGCAGCCAGGGGCTGTGTCCTGGGCTGGGGGCTGAGGCCCCTGCCCTGTGGAAGGGGATGGGGGCATCTCTCTGGCTGGCCCTGGGGACAGTGCAGCCCTGCCGCATGGACCCAAACCCTTGTCCACGGGTTGGGTCCGGCTGCCTGTCTGGTGGCTCTACCCCTGCTGCAATCTGAGCGAGAACACCCTGAGCCTGGGGAGGGAACAGAGTTGGGCACAAGGGCTGGGCCAGAGCTGGGCCTCCGCACCACCCTCCTCGCCCCTCCTGGAGCCAGCACCGCATCTGGGGCCCCTTGGCCGGGAGCCCCTCTCTGCTGCCTGGGCCCCTTCCCCCCCAGTGCGAGCCTGCCCGGCGAGCAGGCCCTGTGCGGGTGCGGCTGGCATCGGCAACGTGGCCAGGCAGCACTGGCAGTGGCCAGGCTGCACCGTGGCCGCCGCTGGTTGGAGCTTGCAGTCCAGCTGCTTTTGCTAAAAAAAAAAAAAAAAACGGGTTTATTTGCTCTGCGCATAAGCAGGTGCCTGTGGAACAGGTTCTGCTCCCCTGCCCGTGGTGCACCCGGCCCCTGCTCCCCCCATGCCGGCACGCTCTGCCACTCCCTGCGGCCTTCCAGCGCCACCGCCCCCTTTTACCTGGGCCTGGCTCTGGCCCCCATTTCTGCAGGGGGAGATGATTCTCCTGTGGGGAGCCCACCCCCTTGCGGGGACCAAGGGGTGCCCGTGTTGCTGAGGGCCCCGCTGTGCTCCAGATGGGTCGGCCCTGAGCTGTGCCCCACAGGGCTGCTAGCGGGGCTGGACTGGCCCCCCCCTGGCCAGTGCCTGTCTGCTTCCCTTGTGTGCACGCCTGTGACTCCCTTGCTGACTCCTGCTTCCTGCAGCTCTGCTGAGGCAGCAACGTGTGGGGCTGGGCTCTGCAGCTGGGCTGGGGGGCTCCCCTGGCAGAGATCACCACCCCGGGCTGGCCTGCGTGGGACCCTGCTCAGAGCACCCAGGCCCATCTCAGCTCGGAGCCAGTCCCTCCGCACAGCAGAGCCCGGCAGGGCCGCAGGGTACCACCTGCCCGGTGCCCAGCCTGGCACCAGTGCTGAGCGAGGTGAAACCCTTGCTGCTCTGCACAGGGCTGGGGGCCGGGGGTGCTGGCACTGCTGGGGCTAGGGCGGGGGGTGTCAGAGCTGGGAGTGGTGGGGCTGACACTGCCCCATTACTGGTGTTTCTGGCCTGTCCCGTCAAGCTCAGGCATCCCCCAATCCAGGCTGGAGCGGAGTCAGGCTCCGACCTGCCCAGTGCCAGTGGGAGCTCACTGCCACGAGTGTATCTGGAGGGACAGACCGACGCGTGGACAAGAGGCAGGCAAGGTGGCCAGAAGCGGGGAGCCATGTCCGCAGCCAAGGAGTGGATCGAGGGAGCTGCCGGCCGAGCTGTGCGGCAAGGAGGATATGGTGCTAGCCAGGTACGGGTGTTGCTTGAGGTCGTCAGGCAGTGACGAGGTGCCTGCCCCGTGGCTCCACGTGGCAGGGCCCAGGGAGTCGGCAGGCCTGCGCAGCACTAGATGCAGGCGCAGTCCTGGGCCAGGATGTTGGGCACGGTCTCGTACTTGAAGGAATAGCCGCCATCGGAGGTGGTGCGCACGCGCAGGGGCCGCATGGTGCCTGGCAGGGCGGCGCAGCAGAGGCGGAAGCCCAGCTTGTGGGTGAGGGCGTGGGCGTCGGAGCAGCTGCCGTGGCAGTAGTGGAAGAGGAAGGAGCTGGGGTGCACAATCCACTTGTCCCAGCCCAGCTCCTCGAATGAGATGTTAAGGGTGGCGCGGTGGCAGTTGGCATGGGCGGCCACGTCCTCTGACGGGCGCTGCAGCAGGTTGAGGGCAGCGGGAGACCAGGGCACCGAGGAGCGCCGGGCTCGGTCAGCCCCCTGGGGCCGGGTGGTGGCCACGAGGAAGGGCATCTTGTCAGCGTCAGCCACGCAGGGGCAGTGTGGGCAGCGCACCAGCAGCACAAAGAGCCGCTGCGAGACGTAGCGCAGGAACGGGGGTGCGAACTGGAACACGGTCCAGTGCTCGGGTGCCGGCACCACTGCAGCCCCCACGGCCACCTGGCCCTGCGGCGACAGGATCAGCACGTCGGCGCCAGTGGTCGAGCGGTTGGGGGCAGCGGAGGGGCCTGGTGGGACCATGGCGGCACTGCCCGTGTGGAACCAGAGCTGGGCAGAGGTCACCGTGCGGGTCAGCGTGTGCGGTGACGGCTGGAAGAGGTAGGTGAAGACTCCCTCATCCTCCAGGAGCACAGCCGGCTGCGGAGGCTCACATGGCACATCTGCAAGCAGAGGAATTGGGTCTGCACTGGCTGGGGTCTCCCGCATCCTGCCCCAGTCCCCAGCCCTCAGCCCGGGAGCTCCCATGTCTGGCTCCAGCCTGCAGGGCTGCATGCAGGGGCTGCAGGCGGGGATGGAGCATAGTTTCATCGTTTCATAGTTGGTTGGGTTGGAAGGGACCTGAGCAGATCATCAAGTCCAACCCTCTGCCATGGCAGGAAAAAGTGCTGGGGTCAAATGACCCTGGTGAGGTGTTCATCCAACCTCCTCTTAAAGGCCCCCCGGGTAGGAGCCAGCACCACTTCCCTTGGAGGTTG